GTTAAAATTCAGAGAAGCGGAGTAAAGAATTCACGTGAACTCTATTTTCAGCGTTTATTTGAGTCTCAACTGATTTCAAAATAACAAGGTAAAATTTTCAAAAGAAAAGAGAGCAAGAGAGAGAGAATTGAGAAGAATACAGACAAATTAGGATGCACAGAGATTCCTATAATTTAGGAAACATTTCTTTTCTAATTTAGGAAGTTGGGGGGAGCAGTTTGTTTGTTTAAGTTTCCCTTTGCGGGTTATATGTTGAGCTACTAACCAAAACGCCAGCAGTTTGAACCCAGCAGCTGCACTGCAGGAGAAAAACTGAGGCTCTCTGCTCCTGTAAAGGTTTACAGCCTTGAAGCCAAAGAGGCAGTTTGACTCTGTTTTATAGGATTGGTAGGACATGATGGCGGTGAGCTTGGCATTTGAGTTTGGTTTGCTTTGTTTGAGTTTTAGTTGAATTTGATTTATTGTTCCTCTGTAGTTTTTTTGACATAAGCCTTCTTAATAATCCTAACAAATATATATGTTTTTTAATTAGGAAAGCTGTATTGAGCAAATGACCTTTTGCATATCTCTCACTGCTCCTCTGATATCATGCAGGAAGTCGGGGAGCATGGAGGTGAAGAACTCAAGCGGCAGCCCCTCGGGCTTCATCCTTCTGGGCCTCTCCTCTAACCCTCAGCTGCAGAAACCTCTCTTTGCTATCTTCCTCATCATGTACCTGGTCACCTTGGTGGGGAATGTGCTCATCATCCTAGCCATCCACTCGGACTCCAGGCTCCACACCCCAATGTACTTTTTCCTAAGCAACTTATCCTTCATGGATATCTGCTTCACAACGGTTATTGTACCCAAGATGCTGGCAAATTTGCTATCAGAGACAAAGACTATCTCCTACGTGGGTTGCCTAACCCAAATGTACTTCTTCATGGCCTTCGGGAACACGGACAGCTACTTGCTGGCCTCCATGGCAATAGATCGACTGGTGGCCATCTGCAACCCCTTCCGTTATGATGTAGTCATGAACTCAAAGCGTTGCCTTCTCATGTTACTGGGTTCTTGCACCATATCCCACCTACACGCCTTGCTCCGGGTGCTGCTCATGTCTCGCCTGTCTTTCTGTGCCTCCCACGTCATTAAGCACTTTTTTTGTGACACACAGCCTGTGTTAAAGCTGTCTTGCTCTGACACCTCCTCTAGCCAGATTGTAGTCATGACTGAAACCCTAGCTGTCATTGTGACCCCTTTCCTGTGCACCGTCTTCTCCTACTTTCGGATTATCATCACTGTGCTCAGAATCCCTTCTGCAGCTGGAAAATGGAAGGCCTTCTCTACTTGTGGCTCCCACCTCACTGTGGTGTCCCTGTTCTACGGGAGTATCATCTATGTCTATTTTAGGCCCTTGTCCATGTACTCAGTAGTGAAGGACCGAGTAGCCACCGTTGTGTACACGGTGGTGACCCCCATGCTGAACCCTTTCATCTACAGTCTGCGGAACAAAGACATGAAGAGAGGTTTGGGGAAATTGAGGAACCGAATTTACTCATAGAAGAACAAAATGATGGGTTGTCAAAATTGGGAGATGACCAAAGAAATTGTCAGGTTATCTTTCTCCCTTGCCTATTTCCTACATGGTATCCCAAGAGATTGTGAGAAATGGTGTTGGGAAACAGTAAGAGCACTGTCCTGGGAATCAGAACACTTTGGTTCTATCTACAACCTTGATTAATTATATATTCAGCTTCAGGCTTGGTAATTCTGGAAATTCACAGTTCAATGCAGAAATCAGTCATCACCATCTAGTACAAGTTTATTATCCCTCAAATAACTCTTCTATAAAACTGTGACCAGTCATAAATAAGTTATAATGTCCTATTACTCTCCCTAGAAAAAGAAAAAATTGCTTGGATTTGGTAAAGAAATGGAAAATACTTTTTTGGGAGCAAGGTAATTAATATATTGAAGGACAAACTGACTTTTTAGATGAAGGTCCAGAGAATAAAGACATGAATAGAACATGTATGTGAAAACCCCCAAAGCAGGTGAGGCAATACATGTGGAAATGTGTTTGAGGAACAGTGAGGCCACAGTCTTCTGAGCAGTTTGTTAAGAGGGAACATCCTCCTGGCAAGATTAAGGAATGGACAGAGCTGATCTGTCCTCTCCCGAGCCCACCCCATCACAATGTGTGCCTTGCCAGCAGTGTCTCCTTACCCCTTGACCCTTAATTCTTCCTTTCTAAAGATGATCAGTGCACTCACTGACCTGTACTGGAGAGAGCACTTGGTGGACCAAGTTATGCTGCGAAATCAGACAACCTCAAAATCTTAGACTCTTAAGACCAACCACTTACTTCTCCTTAAGAATCCATCACAGAAAAGTGCAAGAGTGTGTGGCTCATTGTAGACATTCGGAGACCCAAATGGATATAACAGTCACCATGCTAAACATGACTCATAATGCTGGCAAAAGCTCAGAATGGCTTATGAGTATTTTATACTGATAGTGAACTATTCTGACTCACAGTGCCCCACACCTATTCTGCCCACAACTTATCATTCGCAACTAACCTTATGACCTTACCCAACCACAAGAGAACCGAAAAGTATAATCTATATATGTGGATATGGAGTGGAGAACATGAAATATTTTGTCAATAGCTTGTGAGTATCACACAACTTGAATGAGACACAACTTGAATTAATTGCTTTATCAATCACTTCAGAGATCGTGTTATTGTCAATATCAGTAGTGTTGTAAAGCTTATCCTATCTCTGGATTGATTTTTGTCTCAGATTTCATCAGAATCTCAAAACCACCAAGCAGCTTCTCTGAGTTGCAATCTTGCTAGTTAGGCAGAACCTGAAGTTGAATCTGTCTTTTGGCCTTACATATATATCAACGGGTATATTGTGGTATAATGAAACCCAGGAACACCCAAGGTTCTAACATCAGGGTCCCTACCTTTGTTGACGCCATCTCCTCCAATTACAAATTTGTAAACACCATGCCAAGAAAAAAAAGTAATTTTCAGTCCCCTTTATGTTGGTAGAGGCACACATGTGTTCACCACCATCTCCAGCCAATAATCTGGTTTGGGGGTGAATGGCCTAGAATCTTTGTACCTTTTCTACTTTTTCTATTTACGTGCCACAGCCTCCTCATATTTAACCAAGTTCAACAAGCCATGTGAGGAACGTTCAGGCATATAACAAATAAGCAGATTTATTACTAAGAGATCCCAGGAACTTAGAAAGCTATTAAGTCCTTTCCCCCTTAGAAACCTAGTATGTTCTTACTTCTGTCATCAATCCAGAGTTCTTTTTTGTCCACAAAACAGTGCTGTTGTTTTTTGTTAGGTGTCATCGAATGACTTCTGGCTCATAGAAACCCTATGTACAGCAGAAGAAAGTGCTGCCCAGGACTGCACAGCTCCATAGCTCTTGAGTCGGGTGTTTTGTTCTGTTGTGCATAAGGTCACTATGAGTTAGAACCTACTTAACAGCACCTACCCACAGCATCATTAGATACTTTATGTAAACATCAGCCAACAATGAAAATAACACTTTGACATCCTCAAGAGATATATGACTTAAGGACTTTATAGCTACCCAAAATGACTTTCAATATAAAAAGTTGTTTTCACTAGTCCAGAACTCATGAGGAACCTACGTCAACTTAAGAATTGGTGGTGAGGATTAAATATATATTTATCTAAGGACAAAGTCTAACTGGTGGTTATAAGAGAGAGAACACAGAATTGTGATACATAAACCCTATGACGATAGTAAAGATGCACACAGCAATAAACAAAATGCCAGGACAACGGGTGAAGTACATAAAAATTAGAATAAGCTTACTGGTTCCCACATAGATACTAATTGCAAATAAAGGACTATTAATGTTATTTTAAACCAAGCATTAAGCACAACAAATTTTTAAAATATAGATAATTTGAAGAAATACAGGAGAGCAAAGGAAGTGTACTATCTATTTTTAATATTGTAATAGCTATCAATAGACAATAACCAAGCAAGGAGGGTGCTTCTATAAACTAAGACATATAATAACAAAATGTAATATGTAGACATTACTTGGATTTTAATTTCTTTAATTAACTTCAAATAATTGTTTTAAGAGATTTGAATATGGATCAAATACTAGACTGTTAATGAAGCGGCCATCTAGCTCAGAAGCTACAAAGCCCACATGGAAGAAGCATACCAGCCAGTGCAATCACAAGGTGTTGAAGGGATCAGGTATCAGGCATCATCAGAACAAAAAATCTTATCATTGTGAATGAGGTGGGGAGTGGGGAGTGGAGACCCAAAGCCCATTTGTAGGCCACTGGACATCCCCTTACAGAAGGGTCTCAGGGAGGAGACAAGCCAGTCAGGGTGCGATGTAGCAACAATTGAACACACAACTTTCCTCTAGTTCTTAAATGCTTCTCCCTCCCCCCCCCCCACTACCATAATCCCAATTCTACCTTGAAAGTCTGGCTAGACAAGAGGATGTGCACTGGTACAGATAGGAATTGGAAACACAGGGAATCCAGGGCGGATGATCCCATCAGGACCAGTGGTGTGAGTGGCGATACTGGGAGGGTAGAAGAGGGTGGGTTGGAAGGGGAGAACTGATTACAAGGATCTACATGTGACCTCCTCCCTGGGAGATGGACAGCAGAAAAGTGGGTGAAGGGAGATGTCGGACAGGGCAAGATATGACAAAATAATAATTTATAAATTATCAAGAGTTCATGAGGGAGGGGGGTGCAGGGAGAGAGGGGAAAAATGAGGAGCTGATGCCAGGGGCTTAAGTGGAGAGCAAATGTTTTGAGAATGATGCGGGCATAGAATATACAAATGTGCTTTACACAATTGATGATGTATGTATGGATTGTGATAATAGTTGTATATATGGATTGTGATAATAGTTGTATGAGGCCCTAATGAAAAATTTTTTTAAAAAAGAAAGAAAGATCACATACTGCACAGCTGCATATTGGTTTTAAAATAAAATAAACTTCAAGGGAAAAAAAAGAATTACTGTCAAATTATTTAGATATTGTAAGATCTTTTAAATTGCTATTTCTAGAAATGCAACTACAAGAATATGATTAAAATTACATGTTGTCTGGGATCTTCTTTAACATGCTTGCCAACAAATAACAAGTGTTGTGGAACAGAGGTATATACCCAAAACAAGATTGACACAACTTTAGTATTTACTATGTTGTGATATATCATTAGGATTCAATTATACTTTTTGCTCTATGATGTGTATATTTGAAAGAAACCACAAAATCTATTAATAGCACATCAAGACCAGACCCCAAGTCTCTTTACTCCAGGCCTTCTCCTGTGATTATTCTCGGATTTGGGGAAGAAGTTGATTACAAATTCATGCAGGACTCATAAGGTCCTGAAGACACTGATGTTTCTTAAACTCTTTCATTGAAATTCTAACATTAGGTAATTGAATGAAGTTTTCATTCCTCATTAAGACAAGAAGCCCCAAGGAAAAAGATCATTTGCCAAATTATAAATCATTCCACCTGCTGGGATTAGATAGAGGCTCAAGTTTGATGCAAGAAGAAAGCGTAAACCCAATGTAAGTGCTCGGCTGCTAACTGAAACGGTGGTTCATAACCATTAGTGGCTCAACTGAGAAAGACTGGAGCTCTATCTGCTCCTGTAAAATATTACAATCTAGAAAATGAGAGGATCAACTCGAGAGCGCCTGACAAAAATAATATAATAGCACCTGAGAGGCCAGAGAGTAAAGAGAAGTGCGGAGAAAGATGGGAGACTGGGGGTAATAATTTTGGCAGGAAGACTGAGAAATAATCTGTATTCTTCAAAACCAATGAAGGAACCATCCCAAATCCCTGCCTGGGTAGCAGTGACTCAGCATTCTTCCACAACTGGAGGCACGTAATCTTTGGTCCCTCTGAGAAATCGCTCTTCTCAAGAGGACTCTAGGGAAATTTCACACAGGGGAAAAAAATAATGCATCCTGGATGTAAATTAAATAACAGTGTGATGGTTCATCTAATCAAATGGAAAAAGGAAAAGCCACAAAAACAGCTTGCATGCTATCTTATCATATTGAAGTGGCTGGAGAAGTGCACACAATAGCTGTGTTATTAATAAAACATGGAGAGGTCCCTGGTGGTACAAAGACTCCCTGCTCAACGACACACCTAAAGTTTTGCGGTTCAAACCCACTCAGCAGTACCATGAAAGAAAGGTCTGGTGATCTGCTTCCATCAAGATTACAGCTCAGAATACCCCATGGAGCAGTTGTATTCTGGAAAACATGGGACCACTACGAGTAGAAACTGACTTTATGGGAAGGAGCTTTAAGTTGGCATTGCTGAGTACCTACTGGATGAAAATTTAGTAAAATAAATCATAGGACAGCCATTTTCTGATACAGTAGCTTTTCAAAGTAAAAATTTAGGGGCAAACATTTAGGTAGTTAGTATTGCACTTTTGTCTTATAAATGATTTAATCAATAGGCGTGGCCATATCAGTACCAGCGAA